TGATGGAGCAGAAAGAGGCTGCCGAGAGGGAGCGGGAGCGAGCTCCCATCCCTCGTTGGGGACTTTAGGGGCGTGTGCGGGCGGGTCGCCGTGGGGCACCCGCTCCTCGTGCTCGACCCCGGAGTCCGGGTCCTCTGCTACCAAGGTAACATAACCCCCCTCTCTTCCCATGATAGGAGGAGAGGGGGACCGGGACGGTGGGCGTTGGCGGGAGCCGGCTCCCGTCGTTAGCCCTTCGTCCCAATAGAGAAGCACCACCACTAGCGCGAGTGGAGTAGTTGCGGTGACCAATCCCGGGGCGGCACCGTCCGCCCCGATGATGTGTCTCATCCGAGTCACCACGGAAACCGCGACAAGTCAGGATGGGGGTCCTGGCCTGCACGCGGTCCCAGAAAGGGGTGACATCTCAGTGTGTGTCCTGAGATGTCACCAAACATCTCAAGGAACCAATTGAAGGAGGGAACTTACTTCCTCTCCTCGAGAAGTCTAAAGCCCGAGGGAGGGACCTGCGTGCATCCTCTGAAAGGAATTCCCAGGTCCCTCTCCGCTAAGGGCCGAGTGGCGACACACCTAGGAGGTTTTAGTAGGTAAACCTCCCCCAACTTGCAGGCTGGGGGAGGGAGTCCCACATAACCCCGGCCATATCCCTCCGAGGCCGGGGTATCCATAAAGGATTTCCTCCTAGTTAAAAAAAAAAAAAAAAAAAAAAAGTCACTATAGTCATAACGCAGTAAGAATAAACTTACTTGAGTGATCCGAGTCGGATGCTGATTTTGTAAATGATACATCGTTCGAATAAGTCATACTTTCTGTTATAAGATTTTTTAAAACAGTTTGTGCTTTAAAATATGCTAGCATATCTTTAAAATGCAGTTTTTTAAAGCGGGGATCTAAAAGTGTTGACAACGCTAAAATCTGTACATGTTCTTTGTGATCAAAACGTGTTTTAATCTCGTATAACAAATCTTCTTTTAGTTGAATTCCTTCTACATGTTTAGGACATAATTTGTTTATTTTACTCTGCAAACAGCGAAACATAAGAATTATTATGCTACTTGTAACATATTTTTCAGCACATATTTGTTTTGTCGCTGCTTCTAAAGGTTTCAATAAATCGCATATTTCTGTTAATATTTCAATTTCTTTAGCAGTAATCATAGGTGGTGCTTCCACATGACGATTCACGATATCATTTACTATTCGACAAAGTTCTAAAAATCTTTCAACCATATACAAAGTAGAGTTCCATCTTGTAGGGACTTCTTGAATAAGTTTTGTTTCGTTGGTAGTAGCTTTTCTAAGTTCATCACTAGCTACTACATATTGTTTGAACCACGTCACTATCGTTTTTACTTTAATAATTAACTCGTTTATAAATAATAATGAATTTTGGCTATTGAAGCAGTAACACTGTTGTTGGAGTGTATATATTAAAATCCGTTTATTAACAATTAATAGTAAATAGCATGAACGCTTTCGACCCTTGTATTAGGTCCTTTTCAAATGCATTTCTACAATAAATGAACGTATAATTACAATTGATGAAGTACAATTAATAAAATTAATACAATAAAATAAATTTCAAAAGATAATAATTAAAAATCGCAGAATAAATATAATGTACACAAAGTCACTTACAAATTTCTTAGATAGAAAATAGCGTTCATGCTATTTACTATTAATTGTTAATAAACGGATTTTAATATATACACTCCAACAACAGTGTTACTGCTTCAATAGCCAAAATTCATTATTCTTTAAAAATTCTTGAAGCTCTATATAATCATAATTACATAACTCGTTTATACTTTCATTTTTTTCAAAGCTTTTGTAGAAACTAAATTTATTATGTGAGCAAAGCAAGGAATATGTTTTTTTGCACCAAATGCGATAGTCACAGCATTTATCATGTTTGCTGCACTGTCAGTTACAACTGCAGTAACTTGATCCTTTTGAATATTCCATTCGGAACAGGTTTCTAGGAGTTTATCTGCAATATACTCCCCAGAGTGTCTTTCCTTTAAATCATAAACTCCTAACGTAGCAGAATAGAGCTCGCTTCCAACGCCAAAATAAACCGTAACTCCAAGAAAACTTCGTGTTTGCATTGTATCCGTTCAAATATCGGTTGTTAATGTACAACTCATCATTGATTTTAATTTTTCCTTAAACAGAGCTGACAAAATGTCAAATTTACTTTCAATTTTGCGTTTTATTGTAAATCGAGATGGAATCTCGTAATAAGGAGCAGCAGTTGTAATTACTTTTTTAAATCCTATATTTTCAATAATAGAGAAAGGTTGACAGTCTTTAACAATCATAAATAATATTGCATTTAATAGTTTATGACTCTTTTCTTCTCCTTCTTTATAAGCACATATATTCTGAAATAATTCTTTTACTGTTTTTTGAACTTTGACTTCTTTACACACATTAGCAGTGATTGAATTAGGTGAACTAGAAGTCGAAATCGAGGGTAATAGTTCATCATTCTGCTCTTTTATAGCTAATGTAGTAATTCGTGCTTTTTTTCTTTTAGACTCCGAACTTTCACTGATTTCATACATCTTTTCGGAAAGATGTATAAAATTATTGCGATGTAAAGAACTGTATTTTGTATTATCGGTCACACTGGTCACACTACCGATATAAATATTTACAGATCGTAACCTTTAGTAACCTTGTTCGATTATTACTGGCAGACTGAAAATCTATACTGCCAGTAATAACTGAAAGCCTGTTCTACAATACAGTTT